TACATCGATAAGGTCTTGAAACGGTTCAAGATGCAAGATTCCAAGAAATGAACCTTACCGATGAGCAGTGGCACTGTTCTCTGCAAGAGTCAGTGTCCTACGATACCTGATGAGCGAGAACGCATGGATCGAATTCCATATGCTTCGGAAATTGGATCGCTCGTGTATGCCATGATGTATCCTACGCGTTGAGCATTACGAGTAGATACCAGTCAGATCCAGGTGAGTCGACTGGATCGCCGTCAAGAACATCCTGAAGTACTTGAGAAGGACTAAGGATGTATTCTTGGTATACAGTGGGTCGGAAGACGAGACTGCTGTAAAGGGTTACACTACAGATCGCAGTCTGGCTATGTTTTCTACTTGAACGGAGGCGTTGTTAGTTGGAAGAGTTCCAAGCACGCGACCGTTGTAGATTCTACTACAGAAGCTGAGTATATTGCAGCGTCGGAGGCAGCAAAGGAAACTATTTGGATCAGAAAGTTTGTTGGTGACTTGGGTCTCATTCCTAGTGCTGATAGCCCCATTGCTCTGTATTGTGACAATAATGGAGCGATCGCACAAGCGAAAGAACTCAGATCCCATCAACGATCCAAACACATACTCAGACGATTTCACCTTATCAGGGAGATCATAGACAGAGGAGACGTGCACATTTGCAGAGTATCGACAGACGACAACATTGCTGATCCGTTGACGAAGCCTCTCCCTTCATCGAAGCATAAGGGTCATGTTAGGGATATGGGCATTAGATGTTTAGCAGTCCATGATTAGAGCAAGTGGGAGATTGTTGGTTTAGTGCTCTATGATGAACTGTTGTAGAGCTTTCTTATGATACATTTGATGTATTGACACTTTCTATGAACGTTTGATTCATTACGTATTGTGCATACTTGATATGTTATGAAATCCATGTATTGTTATGAACAATACTAAACTCCTTAGTCATGTATCATTGTGGGAATAATGATATACCAAGACTAGTATGATGTGTGATTGATGATCATATAGATGATCGTAGGTATTGGATACGATCACAGTCATAGGTATTCGTTGGAGAACGAAATACTGGATGACCCGCATGAGATTGTCACATGGACTAGCGTCATGACTTGAATCTCATGTGACGGTTCCATCATTGGATCCTAAGACTTGAGATATCTACAGAATCCAACATGAGAAGTTGCGTGCTTTGAATACGTCAAACGTCATGCGTAACAGGAGGACTATAAAGGCGTGTATCAGGTATGAAACGAATCATGTGCTGGATTGTAGATTGTCAAGACGAGATTTGTACCCTCGTAAAAGAGAGAGATATCGTTGGGCCCCTCGTGTGAGCGAGACTGTAGAAATGTGTGGCCTCACTATAGACGAACGTCGTCTATTTCAGACAGTCGAACTCAGTGAACAAGAAAGCAGTCGAATCAAATAAGGTGGCTTGTCCATGCCTTATGTTCGACGTATGATATCGCGATACAAAAGGATCATCAATCGAAATAATCACTGGCGTTCGTAGGATCACGAACAAACTCTATTCGAGATAGGTAGTCATAGTGTCTTGCTAGAGACCGCCTATGACTTATATAATCGAAATAAGAGATTTCGGGTTATACTGCTATATCGAATGAGCCTACAGGATCACACACATAGGAAATGACGAATGCGCAGAAAAGACGAGAAAATCCCGGTGGAGCGGAGGCCAGACCGACCGGTCCAGAAGGTCTGGACCGATCGGTCCAGCCAACCCAGACCGATCGGTCCAGACACGTGGACCGGTCAGTCCTGACACGTGGACCAGTCGGTCCAGAGGTAACGTGCAAATGTTGCTCGGTCCGGAAAATGTTCTAGACCGATCGGTCCACACGTAAAAGCTCCAGACTGATCGGTCCAGACGTCGGGATTTTCTAAACTCACTCTAATTAGGGTTTTCAGTGGGATTAACTTTAGGAAACGCCTCGTAACTTCTTAGTACAACTTTCAGACCCTTTATGGAGTTTTTGAGAGTGGAAAAACTAGAGAAAAATCCCTGAAACCCTTGCGCAAAGAAGAACGTGTTCTTCAGTCCTACCAGACAAGTTCCAACCGTTGGAATCCTTTCCGCCGTGTGGATACGTGTAGAGGGTGAGGTATTCTTCTTGCCTTACGTGATCGGACGAACACATCAATTGATAAAGGCCCCAGATCGATTGAGGTAAGCGTTCTAACGTTTCTACAAGATCATGCATGATAGGTTTTAGGGTTTCATCAAAATTTTGTTTTACATCCGCTGCGCAAACCCTAGAACCGATATCTTAGGAATTAGATTCGCTCTTGAGATTCCAGGAATTCCATCAACAACTACATTAAATGAGTCTACATGGTCATACATAGGGTTAAAACGTGAAAATGGATTAAAAAAATGAATTATGAAACAAAACGTCTATTGAACTCGTTTGAGTAAGTGTAACTCGTACGAATTTGGTCGAATTAGTGAAATCCAACCGAAACATGAAACTATGCGGGAATTCGATTAAATTAGTATAATTCGACCAAATGGTGAATAACGATGGTAAATAGTAACCGAGCAAAAATCCCACATTGAAAATTTTATCCATTTTCAAGGGTTTAAAACTCTGTATAAGTAGAGCTTGGCAAAAGACTTGAACACACCAAGTCCTAGGGAATCTAGAGAGCTTTAAAAAGTCTAAAACGAGTATAAGCTCTCAGAAACCTTTCCGTACTAGCGACTTCCAAGCCCTAACAGGCGATCCAATTGTTGGATCCACCCCACAATGTGGATATATTCTTGTAACATCTTTCAGTGGTGCTCTTTCATCGCCATTCAGTTCGGTCTCGTTTTTTAAGATCAGTATATCTATTCGAGATCTTTATTATTCGTTTTATTTATTATTTTATGTATGCATGATGCTTAATATTTTTCTATTATATGGGTTTTTAATAAATCATGAATTTATATTTTCACTGAGCTTAGATCTTAGAAATAGGTTAGTTTCAGGTTGAAAGTCGTGACATAAGAAGGCGTGGAAAAACCCAACATATAAAACAAATATGCAAATCATATAACAAGAAAGGTCATGCATCTATAAGTCAATGAATCGATACATAGTCCAAATATCATATGAAGGATTATCCTAGAGCATCACAACCAACAAAAATGGATCTGAGTCATGACTTAAATCTCATGTGATGGTTTGCTATCGGATCCTAAGACTAGAGATATCAATATGTATCTGACATGAGTAGTAGTGTACTCTGACTCAGTCAAAAGTTATCCGTAACTGGATTACTAAAACTACTGTGCTCGGATACGCTATGACATGTGGAGGATAGTAGATAGTTAGGTGGATTTTGACCCTCTCGTCGTGAGAGAGAGATATCTTGGGTCCCTCGAGTGAGATAAACTGTGAATTGTGTGGTGAGCTTAGATTAATGTCATCTATTCTGTTCAATTATCTCATGAAGGAGAAAACAATCGAACCTGATAAGGTGGTTGACTCCATACCTTATGCTCGACCTAAGATATTGTGTGTCAAATGGATCATAGTTAGAAATATCATCGCTCTGTTCGTTTTCCACAAACTCTATCAATGTGAGGGGTGTAGTGTCTTTCTAGAGATCATCTATAATCAATGAGTCAAAATGATGTTTTGAGATCACGGTCGCATCGAATGAACTTATAGGGTCACACGCTAAAAAGGTTGGATCATAAGATGTGTAACGATCTACGATCGCTACCGAACGTTAAAACTGTCCTCACACAGTAACATGGGATCTTTCAGCATAGTTTGTCCTCACTCAAACGCATACCGAGACACCTTCCAATAGGTCATTCATCCTTAGATTGCTCTAGATTCAGCACACTTAACTTTGGAGTTTTCTCAGGATAGTCAATAGAAAAAGTAAATGCACCTAGTTGTTCTGATTAGCTTAACTAATTCTTTTTAAATTATCTTAGACCATATAGTCTCATACTTATATAGCCCTCGGTTGTCTCTCATTCTGATGCGTTCGATTCGTTCTTATGTCCCTCTAACCTAGCGGTACTTGGAGAGCCGCTCTTTGTTCGTATCCTTTGCATCGGTGACCATTCACCACCCTCATCCTAGCTCGGGATGTCACAAGATGCATTTTCGAATATGTTTCACACATACGTTTTGAACGCACGTCGCTCCTTTCAAAACGAAATTCCGCACCACCGAAATAACAATTCATATAGTTTATAATAAATTGTTATGATATTTTGGATTTATTCAAAACTATGATAAGATTTATATAAGAAAAAATTCTAATATTAAATAAATTTATAAAAAAGATTTATGGTTTTTTGTAATTTATGAAAAGTATATGTAGTAAATTGGAATAAAAACGAATTTAGAGGAGTAAAATAGAATATTTCAACGCAGTTTGATTTTTCCCAGAATTACCATAAATTGCCCTCGTTCGCTCGACTTATTCTGACATCTGCCTTTGCCTTCTCACCAGACTCTCTCTCTCGTTTTCTGGATTTCTTTCGACTTCCTTTGTCCGATCAGATCCAACAATCAATCGAATCGAAAAGCCCAATTGATTAACATGACTCTTGGCTCTGGAGGATCGAGTGTTGTCGGTAAAATTCTCGATTCTTCCCGGTCTGTTCTTGTTGAATTCTCTCTTTTATTGAATTCTTCTGATCCTGTACTGGTTTATTCTCTGGTTTTGGATTATTTTCCGTGATTTTGTTTTGCGTATTGCTCTGTGATGTGAATTCATACTAGGTTTGTTCGTTCGATTGTTGGATCTGTATGGTTCCTTCAGATTTCATTGTTTTTTGTGGAATGTTCGCTGAGTACGATGCCTGAAATCTCCATGCATTTACTCGACAACGCTGATGTTTTTATATGATTTTAACACACACGTTTCGGTGTTCTCTGTCTGAAAATGTTCATCGTTTGATTCATATACACTTGTAAATACAATTCCTCGTGATAGCCCCAACTCTTGAGATGGGATTTTCGTTGAAGTTTCTGAAATCCATGTTGAAATGTGAATCATGTGATTATCGGAGTATTGATTCCGGGAGTTTGGGATTTGGGTCTTAGATTTTTGTGATACAGGTTCGGTTTCCATGGTGAAGTCTCAGAATCTCAATATCATTGTTCTTCTTAAAACGTAATCGGAAGCTTTAATGGATTAAACTTCAGAGCACAGATCCTTAGATGGCTCAGACTGAGAGTAGCATCGATCGTACTAATTGTGCAGTGATTCTGCCAGGGCGTTTCAGTTCACTGCTTGGTCGGCTTAACCATAATGATTGTGTCGTTAAAGTTGTTTTCTTCTGTTACTCTGTGCTTGTCTCAATGTAGTTCCAAGGAACTTCCGGTTGCTTGAGGAGCTTGAACGTGGGGAAAAGGGCATTGGAGATGGGACCGTGAGCTATGGTATGGACGATGGAGATGACATCTACATGCGCTCTTGGACTGGCACTATCATCGGTCCTCACAATGTAAAGATTCTGTATCTTTTCTCTTCATACGTTATGATATTATCATATTAGTGATAGTTTCTAGGAACTTGAATTTCTCCAGAATCCCACCCGTCTAGGTCTACTGCTGGTATGTTTTGGTCTTATATTGTCGACTAATAAGTCAAGATTTTTACTTCCTCCTTAAGACAACAATTGTACTAGGCATTCATATTACCGGTGTCCTTTAAGGAGTTGAAGTTCTGGTCTTAGTCTCTTTTGCTTGTTTGGAGAGAAGCAATTTTCTATCTTCTCTTTGGGCAGACCGTGCATGAGGGCAGGATCTATCAGTTGAAGCTCTTCTGTGACAAAGACTACCCGGAGAAATCCCCTAGAGTTCGGTTTCATTCACGCATCAACATGACTTGTGTCAACCATGAAACAGGAGTGGTATGCATATTTCATCAATCCTGCCCTTCTCAAAATCTTCCTCTCTTACATCCTGCAACTCGTTTCGGTTCTTAATACCATCGAATGTGTTATATATATATAGGTGGAGCCGAAAAAATTTGGGCTTCTTGCAAACTGGCTTAGGGAGTACACAATGGAGGGTATACTGACTCAGCTGAAGAAGGAAATGGCGGCTCCACATAACCGGAAGCTCGTTCAACCTCCCGAAGGTTCGTACTTCTAGTAATTTCCGGAACCTTCTTCATCCACGTGGTAAACAAAACTTTTTCTCATCCCGGATTGTGGAAATGGCGCCATTATAATACTAATGTCCTTGTGCCCGAGGTTTTCTTCACTATTGTGTTAACTCGAGAAGTTTTAACCTAAAGAAACGGTCTTTTGTGGATGATGATGATGATGATGATGATGATGATGATGATGATGATGATGATGATGATGATGATGATGATGATGATGATGATGATGATGATAGTGGTGATGATGATGATGATGATGATGATGATGATGATGATGATGGTATGATGCTAATTGATCATCTGAAGATGAATCCTTTTGTGCGGAAGATATCAAAACAGAGTATCCTTTTGAATCCATGTTTTAATCTTGTGCAATTTTTTCTCTCTGGGTTCTTTTGATCTCATTTGGAAACTTTCCCTTCTCTTTATGAAGAACTAGAAATTAATGTTATTTCCTGAAAATATCTCATTTAAAACGAAATATATTTATTTCACTTATAGTAGGTGAAAATATCTTATTGTTTGTTTTGATAAAAAAAAATATACTTTTTTATAATAGAAAATTTTATTATTACTTTTTTATATAATTTTATAAATTAATAAATTTTATTTATAGTAATAATAAATTTTATTAAAAATAATCATATTTTATGAACTTTCCATTAAATTTTATAATAAATTGTTTATAAAAAATAATAATCAAAATTTAAAAATCTCCGAAGAATAGGTCATGAGAATCTTTTATTTTTATATATAAAAGAAGAGTTCTCCTAATACGGGATCCACACATGTTCCATATATTTATTTATACAAATTTAATGCAAAAATGTTGTGAAATACATTTTTCAAGAATGAGACATCCCTTATTCCCGTATTCAGTATTCAATCTCTTTAAAATGTATTTATTAATTATTATAGTATTTATTTCATGTTCAAGTATGACTTTTCATATCTCTATAAATAGCTATCACATTTTATTTGATTTTCATATACCAAACTCTATATCAATAATCTTCTCGAGGATCTCATTTTTTTAATCATCGCTCTCATTATCTATCTCGCAAGCTACGCGTCAACGGTCAACAGTGTTGACCGTTGCATTGTCAGATAATATCATGACGATCATTTTGACCGGGGATGAATTTCTAGATTGCACAGGTATGTCTCTGAAAGATCTCTATCGGATCTGTATTTTGGATGTATGTCGAACATCATTTTGTGTCACGGGTCACACAGGTAAATTATCACGATATCATATGTCGAACGCATGGAAAAGCCACCTTATCTGATTCGACTGCTTTCTCGTTCACTGAGTTCGACTGAAATAGACGACGTTCGTCTATAGTGCGGCCACACATTTCTACAGTCTCGCTCACACAGGGGCCCAGCGATATCTCTCTCTTTTATGAGAGGTACAAATCCCATCTTGACTATCTACAATCCAGCACATGATTCGTTTCGTACCTGATACACGCCTTTATAGTCCTCCTGTTACGCAGGACGTTTGACGTATTCAATGCACGCAACTTCTCATGTTGGATTCCGTAGATATCTCAGGTCTTAGGATCCAATCATGGAACCGCCATATGAGATTCAAGTCATGAAGCTAGTCTATGTGACAATCTCATGCGAGTCATTCAAGTATTCTGTTCTCCAACGAATACCTATGATTGTGATCGTATCCAATACCTATGGTCATCTATATGATCATCAATCACACATCATACTAGTCTTATTATATCATTATTTCCACAATGATATCCGACTAGGGAGTTTAGTATTGTTCATAACAATACATGGATTTCATAACATATGCAAGTATGCAAAACATGTAATGAATCAAACACTCATCTATAAACTCATAGAAAGCGTCAATATATCAAATGCATCCAAGTAAAGCTCACAAACAGTACATCATAGAGCACTAAACCAACACAAGCCATAGACGGTCTCTAACAAGACACTATGACTACCTATCTCGAATAGAGTTTGTTCGTGATCTTACGAACCAGTGATGATTCCGGATGATGATCTTTTTGTATCACGATATCATAAGTGGAACATAAGGCATGGACTGACCACCTTATCTGATTCGACTGCTTTCTCGTTCACTGAGTTCGACTGTACGAAATAGACGACGTTCCTCTATAGTGCGGCCACACATTTCACAGTCTCGCTCACACGTGAGGCCCAATGATATCTCTCTCTTTTACGAGAGGTACAAATCACATCTTGACTATCTACAATCCAGCACATGATTCGTTTCGTACCTGATACACGCCTTTATAGTCCTCCTGTTACGCAGGACGTTTGACGTATTCAAAGTATGCAACTCCTCATATTGGATTCCGTAGATATCTCAGGTCTTAGGATCCAATCATGGAACCGTCATATGAGATTCAAATCATGATGCTAGTCCATGTGAAAATCTCATGCGGGTCAATCCAGTATTCTGTTCTCCAACGAATACCTATGATTGTGATTGTTTCCAATACCTATTATCATCTCTATGATCATCAATCACACATCATACTAGTCTTATTATATCATTATTCCCACAATGACATACGACTAGGGAGTTTAGTATTGTTCATAACAATACATGGATATCATAACATATCAAGTATGCAAAAGATGTAATGAGTAAAACACTCATCCATAAACCATAGAAAGTGTCAATACATCAAATGTATCTAAATAAAGCTCGCATAACAATACATCATAGAGAACTAAACCAACAATCTCCCACCTACTCTAATCATGGACTGCTAAACATCTAATGCTCATGTCCCTAACATGACCCTCATGCTTCAACGAAGGGAGAGGTTTCGTCAACGGATCGACAATGTTGTCATCTATCGAGACTCTGCAAATATGCACGTCTCCTCTGTTTATGATCTCCCTGATAAGGTTAAACCTTTTGAGTATGTGTTTGGATCGTTGATGGGATCTGGGTTCTTTCGTTTGTGCGATCGCTCCATTGTTGTCACAATACTGAGCAATGGGGCTATCAACACTAGGAATGATACCCAAATCGCCAACAAACTTCCTGATCCAAACAGCTTCCTTTGATGCATCCGACGCTGCAATATACTCAGCTTCTGTATCCAAGTTCCTTTCTTAGAATCTTGCATCTTGAACCGTTTCAAGACCTTATCGATGTAAGTACTCTGACACAATCCTAGAAGCCGCCTCGATCTATCTTTATAGATCTTTATGCCTAAAATATAGGCCGCTTCTCCCAGGTCCTTCATAGAAAACTGTGTTCCTAGCCAAGACTTAACGTCTTGCAAGGTAGGAACGTCATTCCCTATAAGGAGAATGTCATCCACGTACAACACTAGAAATACAACTGTGCTCCCACTTGCCTTCTTGTAAACACATGGCTCGTCTTCATTCTGTGAGAAACCAAACATTTTGATTGTCTCATCAAAGCGAAGGTTCCAGCTCCTCGAATCCTGCTTCAGTCCATAAATGGACCTCTGAAGCTTGCACACCTTTCCCGGGTTCTTTGGATCGATAAAACCTTCGGGTTGTGTCATGTACACATCCTCGGTCAAGTTCCCGTTAAGGAACGCGGTCTTGACATCCATTTTCCATATCTCATGGTCGTAATATGCGGCTATGCCAGGTAGGATCCTGATGGACTTCAGCATAACTATAGGCGAAAAGGTCTCATCATAGTCAATACCATGAATATGACGGAATCCTTTCGCCACAAGTCGTGCCTTATACGTGTGCACGTTGCCATCCATGTCGGTCTTCTTCTTGAAGATCCACTTGCATCCGATGGGTTTTATCCCTTCAGATGCATCAACCAGAGTCCATACTTGGTTGTCTGACATGGATTGCATCTCGGACTTCATAGCCTCGCGCCATTTCTCGGAATCCGGATTCTCCATAGCCTCTGGGTATGTGGTAGGCTCATCATGTTCCAATAACATGAGCTCCTCATTCTCAGTCACGAGAAATCTGTATCTCACAGGCTCTTGACGAATCCTGCCTGATCTCCGATGTTCACTCGTCGAAGGTTGAGTCACAACTGGCAGTGAAACAGGTTGAACTTCTTCAACTTGTTCACTCGGCTTAGCGTCTACTTGCTGCTCTCGAACTTCCTCAAGTTCGATCCTACTCCCACTGACTCTTTTGGAGACGAACTCTCGCTCCATAAAAGTCGCATTCCTGGCAATGAACACTTTGTTCTCTGTCGGAATATAGAAGTGGTAACCCTTAGTTTCCTTAGGGTGGCCTACAAATAAACACTTATCAGATTTGGAGGATAACTTATCAGTCATCTGACGCTTCACATAAGCGTCGCAACCCCAAATTCTAACCAACAACAATGCGGGACACTTCCCCGTCCATATATCAGATGGCATCGTTTCAGCCGACTTCGTTGGACTCCTGATCAGCAGGTACGCAGCGGTCTCTAAAGCGTAGCCCCAAAAGGACTTCGGAAGCTCTGTCTGACTCATCATAGACCGAACCATGTCTAACAGTGTTCGGTTCCTCCGTTCAGACACGCCATTCCACTGCGGCGTTCTAGGAGGAGTTAATTGTGATACAATACTACAATCAACCAGATAGTCAGAGAACTCTTGGCTCATATACTCGCCACCACGATCGGATCGAAGTGTCTTGATCGTCTTGCCAAGCTGGTTCTGTACTTCGTTTCTGAAAGCCTTGAATATTTCAAGTGTTTCAGACTTATGTCTTATCAAATAGACATAACCGTATCGACTGAAATCATCAGTGAACGTAATAAAATACATATAACTTCCTCTAGCTGGACAGCTCATTGGTCCACATACATCACTATGTATCAGGTCCAATAACTCTGTCGCTCTCTATCCTTTCCCCTTGAAAGGATGCTTCGTCATCTTACCCATTAAACAAGACTCGCAAGATGCCAGAAGAAGGTCGGGTTTAAGTCGTTCGGCTTAAACCATTTGGTACAAACGTTATAGATAGACCTGTATATTGATGGTTCGTCATCCAAAACATAAAGGCCATTAAACTGGTAACCTTTACCAAATCACCTCTATAAATAGATATACATTTGTTCTCAATAACAAATCTGAAACCATCCGAGTCTAAGTATAAAATCGACATAATGTTCTTGCTGACTGCATGAACATAATAGCAATCATGCAACTCCAATACAAGTCCAGAAGGTAAAGTTAGATCGTAACTCCCTATGGCTAATACAACAACCTTTGCTCCATTCCCAACGTGGAGATCTACTTCTCCTTTTGCCAGTTGTCTACTTCCTCGCTGCCCTTGCACATTTCCACAAATGTGCGAGGCACTTCCGTATCCAATACCCTCGATGTGGAAGTAAACAAGTTAGCCTCTATAACGAAGACACCAGAATTCGATGCTTCTATAAGCCTCTTCTTCTCTTGATCTTCCAGGTAGAGTCTACAATTTATGTACCAATGCCTAACGGCA